TACTCGGTTCTTGTCACAGCTGACCAAGAAGCAGCTGATTACTACATTGTAGCATCTCCTAAAATGGTGAATTCCTCTTTCCTTAGCAGCTTTTCCGGTGTTGGCCTGCTGCATTACAACAACTCAACAACTCCTCCTTCAGGATCTGTGATTGACGGACCTGATCCATTTGATCTTCAATTCTCCATTGATCAAGCCAAATCCATTAGGTAAATGACATTCACCCTTGCGTTGTCATTCTTACATACTATCTTCTTTCCTTCTTGAAAGCAGTCAGTGTAGTACATATCTATTTTTCCTCTATATATTGCTCATATATCTTTCTGTATATCGATAAGGTGGAACCTGACTACAGGAGCCGCTAGGCCTAATCCACAAGGCACTTTCAATGTAACAAATGTGACAATCACGCAAACCTTCGTCCTCCGTGGATCAACTGCAAGAATTGATTCTTTACTTTACTACACAATCAACAATGTGTCATACCTTACACCAAATACTCCATTGAAGCTGGCTGATCACTTTGCTAATGGGACTGGTGTTTATGAACTTGATCAGTTCCCTGTTAATGCTAGCAATGTGGAGGCTAAACGTGGAGTTTTTGTCGCAAGCGGGTTACATAAAGGGTGGTTGGAGCTTGTTTTTCAAAATGATTTAGAAGTGATCGACTCTTGGCATTTGGATGGTTTTGGATTCTTTGTAGTTGGGTAAGCACTGCACTAAAACAAATAATCTTAGGCAAATCCTCCAAAGCAGATAAGAGCTTATCCTTAAAAATCATTTAAAAAGAACTTTAAATGAAATTCATTCTTTACCTTTCATGCTGCTGGTGCCATATTATTCATTTTCAGTAGCTTCTACCAAGAATATTGATGATGTTCAACGCTTGATCAAATTAGATTTGGAGATGGAGAATGGAAACCCGAAATGCGAAACGTCTACAACCTTTATGATCCCGTTGTCCGCTCCACTGTTCAGGTGATTTATGTTCTTCATCTGCAATTAGCCTGCAGGTTATATATGCGTGCATATACGCATATAGATAAGAACTAATAATTCTAACTGGAACTGTGGCCAGGTGTACCCAGGAGGATGGACAGCAGTATACGTATATCTTGACAATCCTGGCATGTGGAATTTGAGATCACAACTATTGATGAATTGGTATTTGGGTCAAGAACTATACATGAGGGTTTATAGCGCTGACCCGAACCCTGCCAAGGAGCGACCTTCCCCTCAAAATCTCCTCCTATGTGGTCAATATCATATCTGTTTCATTATGTTTGCTATATTCGTTATAAGCTTGATATTCTTTTTATGTTGATAGAAAATTAGATGATGTTTTTAAGATTTCCTCCTTTGTACTTATTGACAGGAATATTCAATAGCTCCGCTTCAGCCCCTGCACCCCATCCCAATGTGCCCTCAACACCTTCTAGCTCACAATCTCAACAAATAACATGGTCAGTAGAAATTTAATTAGTTATTATTCACTGAATCTGTTAAATTTGCTCCATACATTACCTAAAGATAGTAATCCTGATTCGTATCTTTTGTTTGGCTAATATATGTATTTCTCTCCTTCTGCATTTTTGCAGGTTTCATCTTGTTATGATTTACATTGTCACCATCCTCTACACCGGACAGCATTGAGCTTCAGTGTTTCTTTTTTAAATTCCAATTTCCTATAGATTCATTAAATTGGGAGAGGAGTGATTTGAAATAGATTGGAGCAGTTTTACCTTAGTTGTCCTGGCAATATTACAATGAGGCTGCTCCATATTACACTCTATACTTTTACTTAAGAGGACGACATGGTTTGTACTGAAGGCTGCTTATCTTTAACAAATTCTTTATTCATTGGTATTATTACTAAATTTTGCACAAAATCTCTATGATCTGTGATTATAATTTTTGAATCTACTAGACTAAACTAGTTGACGATTCTAAAATCATATGCTTGACATTGTTTATACAAGACTCGAGTAGTCTTCTCTTCCCTGTTTTTTAATTGGATAAGTCTAGCACTAAAAGTTCCTTCAAAATTGATTCTGCAAAAATATCTAGTACGGATTGACATGACCATCTAACAAGTCTAGTGATTCTGTTCAATAAAATTAATGGTGATATCACATATTTCTATTGGAAACAAAGTGGCTATCTAAATAAGAGATGGCCACTGCAGCATTAAGAGCAGCTCCTATAGGAAGAGCCTCTTCATCAACAACAAAATAAGGTGAGTGTAGAGGTTGACCTGACTTCAAAGTCTCGTTCTTTATTCCAACAACGAAGATTGCAGCAGAAGTTTTCTTTGAGAAAAAACTGAAATCTTCTGCCCCCATGGTCACTGGCATGATGTGCACATTAGATTCGCCAACCAAGGCCTCGCTAACCTTCCTTGCATGTTCATAAAGTGCTTCATCATTGATCATCACCGGATGAGGAGAATGTAGATTCTCCATTAAGTCCACCACAGCACTACATTGATGAACAGCTGCTTGCGTCCCTATAATCTGCAAGCAAAACTATAATCAGTTCTTTACTTCTTTCCTCACTCCCTTTTTGTTACAATCAGAAGCCAAACGGTAAGATTCTGAATTCAAATTTGGAGATTGAAAAACAACACATAATACCTCTTTAATCCTTCTTTGGATATATAAAAGACCTTCATTGCTCAAGCTTCTGAAAGTTCCACCAATTCTGACTGATTCTGGGATCACATTTCCTGCTTGACCTCCGTCAATAAAACCAACAGTGATTACCTATTAATCCAAAACAATCCCATAAAAAAACATTTCTAATCACTACACGATCATATCAACATTTATGATGACAGATTAAGATACTATCTCTACATAGATGCAATCATGTAACCGGTTCCAAATAAAAAAAATATTTCCAGAGCAGAGGATTTAAAAACATTACTGCAGCCTCAAGGGGATCTATCTCTCGAGACGCAATCTGTTGAAGAGCAATAATGGAAAAAGCTACTGCAAGAATTGGGTCCCTAGCCTTGTGCGGGCTTGCTGCATGTCCACCTTTCCCTTGAATCTTGGCTGAGAAAAACCCAGAGCCAGCAAGCAACGGGCCAGGTCTTGATGCGACGGCACCAGTAGGAAATGTTGGCAAAACATGGATGCTGAGGATACCGTTTATATCGTCAAGAACACCATCTTGCAGCATATGATAAGCACCTGCATGACCCTCTTCACCAGGCTGAAAAACCAGCTTCACAGTTCCCTTCAAAAGCATATATCAAAAAACCAAGAATGAGCTTTCCGTACATATAAATACTATATTAAACCATCTTCTATCAACTTAATCTTTTAAAAAATTATTTCAATAGATGCAGTGTGTATGTGTTCATCCACGCTTTTAGCCAGCGGGCTTGTGCCTAAGAGGTGAGTATAATTATTTTACACTTTCAAGAAAAGGAAAAATGCTACATCCAGGATTACTTTCATATATAAATTTATTAAGAGTTCAATTCCATCACACCTTCAATTCGTTTCTTTTGCTGTGCAGCATCTTGGCTGCTCCAAGCAACATTGCGACATGAGAATCGTGACCACAGGCGTGCATCTTCCCGTCAATCTTGCTCTTGTGCTCCCACTCCACTTGTTCCTTTTCCAAAAGTCAACTTCAGGATATCAAAAAAAAAAAAATTAAAGCATAACAACATCACTTCAAAATATAAATGCTAATTTGTCCAATTTAAGATTTTCAGTATCAAAATCAGCAATCGATGCAGTTGAATCTTAAAATTTCATGTCTGTTTCTACCAATTTTCAGTTCGAGTGAAGAACGTTTTATACCTGCAAGGATAGGGCATCCATGTCAGCTCGGAGAGCGAATACTGGTTTTTGTCCGGTTCCAATTGAAGCCACCACTCCAGTTTTAGCCACCGGCCATTTGTAGTTGACCCCAAGCGAGTCCAGCTCTTCTCGGATGAGTTGGCTCGTTCTGTACTCCTCGAACCCCAGCTCTGGATACCGGTGAATCTTCCTCCTGATCCCTATCATCCATTTGAAGAAACGAGTCTCTCTCGCGGAATCTAGTAATTCACGCGTCAGTGATTCTACCTCCTCTCTGCAGCAGTTCTCCTCGGTAACCGATTGGCAATGGAATGCTGCCGATAGCAACAGCGTGAAGAAGAAGACGAAGCCAACTGCGGCCATGGCTGGTAGAAGCAGAATCTTCCCGTATCCATGGCTATTTTCATTTTTAAATCCTTAATATTAAAAAAAAATTATATTAAAAAATATTGAACGGCAAATAGTTCTTTTCCTCCATTACTGTAACGTCCGTGCATGCACTTGTATAAAAATTATAATTTTTTTAATTTTAATTTATTACATCATATATATATATATTATTAACATTTAAAATATCTAAAATTTAAATAATTTTATGAAGAAACAAATTTATTCTTTATTTATTTTTTATTATACTTTATATTATTACTTATATAATTTTCCAATGGGTAAAATAGAATAACGAGCTGCTAATTATAACAGCTTTAACCTTATGTTTTTACATAATGAAATTGACCCAAGTGCACGTACATATAATTTATTTTAATTGTAAATTTATTTAAAATAAATTTTATATATAACTTCAATTTTTTTAAAAAAATTTAGAAATTAAAAAACGCTTATATAAATATAATTTTATGTATAACTTATATTGTTCATTTACTTATTTCTCAAAAGATTATAATTCAAATATATAATTATAGAATTGAAGATATAATTAAACTCAATTCGATTATACATCAAGCATACAAAACATTTATGTAATGTTACTTTTCATATTAAATAAAAAATTAAAAATTAAATAAAAAAAAAATAAGTTCAAACCAAACACAACAAGCATTTGATTTTCTAATCAACCCGTCTTCTCATTAATGTAAGAGATGGCGACTGCAGCATGAAGAGCTGCTCCGAAGGGTAGAGCAGCCTCGTCGACAACCATGTAGGATGAATGGAGGTGGTTAGTCGACGAGTTTATGGTTTGGTTGCCAGTTCCTATCGCGTAAAATGCAGCAGCTGTTTTCTGTGAGTAGAAGCCGAAATCCTCGGCTGCCATGGCGATTGGAAGAAGATGAACATTGTGTTGGCCAACCATGGATTCTCCAACCCTCTTTGCATGCTTATACATTGCTTCATCGTTTACCGTTGCTGGGTAATGCCTCATTTTCTCTTCTAAAAAATCTACTCTACCACTGCACTGATGAACTTTTGCTTGCATCTCAATGATCTTCATTAGTAATAAAACTTATATTAATGTTACTTGTACATAAATTAATTTAGAATTAGTTGAATAATTAGTTTAATTAGTTGTTTCAATTAAGATTCAAAAACTAAAGTTCATATAAACGAAAAATATACTCCAACTAAGAATAATACCTCTTTGGTCCTCTGTAGAAGATAATGTAGACCTTCTGTTGTTATGCTTCGCAAAGTTCCTCCAAATCTTACAGTTTCCGGAATTACATTTTCCGCTTGGCCAGCCTCAATGAATCCAATTGTCACCACCTAAGTTCGAGTTAAAATGTACCCAGTAAATAAAAAATAATTACTTACATCTAAAGATACACGAATAATTGATCTATAAATGCACATTAAAAAAATCTAATAGATGATCTAA